CAAAAAAGTTATGAGGCCGTAACTCAATTTCTGCAAGCTAACAATTTTGATGCTCAATTGGTCACAGATGTTGAAAAAGGAAACCTAAAGGAAGACCTTTCGAATGCTTGTTCTATACCGCTTAGCAAGGTTAAACAACGACAACGTCGATTATAAACTGCTTTTATACAAATATCTCCTCTACGCTTTCATAGGATATTCGTTACGGGCAGTGCACATTTCTATATCTTAATAACTAATAATGCTGAAATTAAAGTCAACTCATTTGTTGGCAGGTTCTCTGCATACTTTCATGGTATGAGACATCATTCTTGTGTCAGTGCTGAACATGACTTTACGTGAAGTGTCATCGTCATTCCAACTATCTCTTTTTTTATTCATATTTCAGCTAAGTTATTGATGGTTATCGGTCATCATAAAAATTTACTGGATATTCACTGCAGCGTTTCTCTATTCCCTGTGTGTGTCAGTATACCGATTAGGTTGCTGATGAAGCTTTCTCTGGCTATGTGGTTCTAAAATCTAGTTTTAAATGTCATATCTACATAAATTCCTCGTTCTCATATTGCCATGCTTTATCAATCATATTATAAAATTTCATTTAACAAAAAAAATTTTCCTGCTTAAAATGGAGAAATTTGACTTTTATAACACTTTTCATGTATCTTTTTTTAACATGCGTGAAAATCCACATTTTCGCATGTATCTTTTTCACGTATCGTTTTTCACATGTTTTTTTGTATCTTACCTTTCAGGTTACAAGCACAAGTTTTTGGAAGGTTCCTTTTGAAGATGCACTTGATTTAGTTCGTAAAAGGCGGGTTCTGCTGGTTTTCGGTCATGCCTTTGTTTCTGAAGATGATCTCCAAGTTATATTATGCACAAGACTTCGTCTTAATATCGCCGCTGCTATGGCTGTTAGCATTTATTGTATGTAAAATAAAGTTTGGCTTAAACATAAGTTTAAGCCATTTTGTTAAAGATGGAGAGTTTGTAATAGTGAAGTTTTTCTCGGAATTTTTAGATGAATTTCGAAGTCTTAGTTTATGGCTATGTAAAATTCATCATTTTAATCATTGTTGTTTATCTGCTGCTGGTTGCCATCTTTCAGCACGCTTGTAGAAATATCGTATTCATTGAAGAAAATGACCGATTGATGCCATTTTTGAGGAGTCTATCGAGCAGATCTTATGTGGGCAAAAATTACATTGGAATGGATGGTTCTCATGTTACACCTGATATGGTGGATTCCGTATGTGTCTTGGTTTTATCATCCAGATCCGGTAGATAGCTTTCATTCGCTAATTCTATACAATCGTTCACCGGTAGCCGCTATTTCCTGAGTTTTTGAATATTTTTCTATGAAGCATAATTTTAGTTAATGTTTCCTTTGGATATACAAAGCACTGCTCTATTACACACCTATATTTTTATTGTATATGAAAATAGTAACAGAAGGTAACTTGCGTATCAAAATGGAACTTTGACATCTTTGGCTTCCCATGAACATCAAAGTATAGTGATGGCAGTTTATTTTAGAAGTCAGCTACCTGTTTTGCAAATGTTTTTATTTGTTTCAGCTAATATTTTTTCAGAGAAAAAAAGTAGTTCCAAAAAAAAAATTTTAGCTTGCTGCAACTTCGTTCCCGCTATGTATGAGGAATATACATAATCGACTGAGGGCAGACCATCATTTACGTCATGGAGCTCGAATGCAGTATGGATTGTTTTTAAAAGCGATTGGCATGACACTGGAAGATGCATTGCTCTTCTGGAGGGCTGAATTCACTAAAAAAATGGATCCAGATAAGGTTAGCCAACGATTTTGTCTTTCTCGAAGGAAGTTCGTTTTTAAGGTATGGTAGAGCTTCAGTTGATATTTAACGCAAATTGAAACTTTTGCAAATTAAACGAAACACATTTTAATCTTTCTTATTAAAACGGTAGCTGATATATTTACTGATCAGAATTTGAAAATTTCTTATCAAAATTCTGTAGACAAAGATTTTTGTGTGGAAGTATCTAATTTAAAGGTGTGAAATATTCCTTGAGGTACAATTGCATCTGTTTGGGCTATGAATTCCTAGATTTTTAGTTCGATAAGCAATATGCCTACAATATTCGCCATAATTATGGCAAGGAAGGAAAACATGCGGATTATTCGGCATATCCTTGCACAAAGATAATCCTGGATTCTAGTCCCTCGTCTGCAGACTGTCATGGTAATTTTAATGTCCAGGCATTTCCACTTCCAGACAATCCTTACTAGCTTTGTTCCTAGCGGTGAGCATCCAGTATCTCTCAGTAACGGAGTTGAAAAGGGGAAAAATTGAATTTACTTTCCTTTTAATCTCTAATTTGATCTCCCTGATATTTATCTCTTGTTTTTTTTTAAAATATTTTATCAAACGAGTATTGACTCCACTAATTCGAAAATATCTGGAATATATTGGAATATATTTGCCCGTCTATTTCAGGTTGCCCTTATCGACACAGTGATTTGCAGCCACTCGTTCAAAATTTGAGAAGTTCGGGTCTTTCCAAATCTCAAATTGAGCACGTACGTTCAGTGTCTTATTTCTTAAATAATTTCAAATTTTAGGATTTAAATAAACTACTTATTTTCATATCAAATCCGTTGATAAAACGGAGGGAATTGTTTTTTAATGAATTAAAGTTTGTTCTCACGTGATTTACTTCAGTACTGATAGGTTGGCAAAGCAATATTTAATATTGATCTTGTAAACTTAATTTAGCTTTCAGATTATGCTTACAAATCTAAGAGTTTTCTTTGCCTCTTCTGTAAACAGATTTGTGTAGTCAAATTTCCTGTACGAATGTGTTTTTTTTTTGCAGTATTTTCCTGTCTTTACTGGTGTCTGCTTTGATAACTCGAGTTTCTTTTTTTTTCTAACTTGTTAATTATAAAAGAACATGGTGCAGGCCTTTAATTTAGGCCAATTATCCTTTCTATAAGTACTCAGGACTTATAGAAAGAAGCCTAACACCGAATTCCCAAATTTCTTATTCATCATATGAAAACCTTCGCACCTGGAATTTGATCTTATATAGACAACATTTACTAATTCAACGAAAACTAATAACTAAAAACGACCTTTCGAACTTTCAAAACGAAATTTTTTACACGAAATACCACTTCTATCTTCAATGTTTATCATCCAATATTGTTAGCTTATAATATTTTTTCGTTTATTGTCTCTCCAATCCAGTATGAGAGTACATAACCGATTAGACATAAGAGTACATAACCGATTAACAGAGTATGTTGAGGAAGGGACACTAATAATGACCTTATTTACGCTTTTCAGATTACTTTATTGTCAAAAAATACCCAATATGATAAAGCTTGTACGCGATATTTCGAATTTTCCCACAAAATGGTCGAGAACTCCTTGGGTACGGTAATAACTCATCCCAATCAATATTTCGAACTGTCGCGCCAGGTCCACGAAGGGAAACGGAACAGGTTGATTTCTGACGCCAGTTTGAAAAGTTTAACCACTTCTTACCATTCTTTTGCTTTCTAAATTAATTGTTTCTCCCTACATATGGATCAAGTGAACTAAATTTTATAAATCTCATACGATTCCTAATCAGTAACTGCTTTAAGGGAGGAGGAGCCGAAACATGAGGTCACGATGAGCTCGTATGCGAACACCACGCAACATGGAGCTGACGTTGACATCGAAGATCTCATCAAAATGGAGATTCTATAGTGAATCAGCGAGACCCTTAAACGTGACTGTTTAAAGAATGAATTATTCTTCTTGCCAGCTTTTAGACTGCACTTGACAGACCTGTGTTCACTGTTTTGGTTCCATTCACTTTTTTGATGTGCCCTCATGAGTTGTGCCTCATCAATGAATTTTTTTTTCTTGACGTACTTAATCAGACCACATGATGCTAGCAGGTTTAGTCGTTCAACTGACATAATTATAAAATAGAGCAGTGACAACATGAACCCGTCAAAATCAATACCTAAATTGTTTTACAATGGGCGACAGCTCAGGAAACTCTAGTGAATATATTTCGTTATTTTCAGATTTTCATTTAAAGATTTCCTAGCAATTCAAAAATTGGATAAGGATCAATAAAATTAAGCAATCTTCACAAGCCTGAGCCAGATGTAACATATAATATCAATGGAGACCTCTTAACATATCATAATTGTTACAGCAAATATAAAACGTGCAAAATGATATATAACAAGGTATAACATGAAATTCAGGGCTTTATATTTTACACCACTCACGACTTATTACCCTAATAGCTGTAGAATGTCGACAAAAACAAAAAACCACAAGTTCCAGTTGAACGTCAGCATTAGAAAAACGACTTCAAAATGGTGATCGACACAACAAACTTAAGTCACAATCCCGGTCGTTCATGTTGAACCAATAAACAAGGTTAATTGATCTTGGAAACACAAGCAATTGCTAGGTTCATCGACGGAAAGCTGATCTGAGATATATGTAAGTGGACCAACAGCAAGAGGCATTTGACACAACAGTAGGACAACACTGAATTCAAAAGATATGAAATTAAAACCAAAATATGTCGTGGTAAGCAAAATAATGACTAGAGTCAACGAAAGAAAATGTGATCTGTTGTCCTAAGAACAGCTACTAGGTTCTTCTGATCATTCTAAAAAAACTAGGTCCACATTAATCAAGAGGTTCG